CTTTAAGTTAGATTTAGAGTAGCATTTTGGGTGTTTCTCCAGATAAATTCTGAGCCTTTTGAATGAGCACTATAAACCCTCATTCCAGATCGAAAGTCCTTGGACTACAGGAAATTTCATTCTGACCTTTCTAGTTACTGCTTATTTCTATAATGGGCTACACCAGAATCAGTACCTCAACCCAAATGTTACTGGAGAGAATACACTCTAATCTCTAGGTTCAGTTATTACTAATTAAGAGCCCAAGAGATGACATTTCCCTTCAGTCAAAACAGGTCACCACCAGGAAAGGCATTTATTCAACATATCATCACATAGATAATGTGAAAAAGGGGTGATGTTTAACAGTACATAAGTTCTGAGACAGGCTGAACAGATTTTCATAGGAAGTATATAGGTGTAATTTTCAGATTGCAATTGACAAAGGACTTCCCTCTTCCCTTCCAATTCAAGGATTAATTGGTTTTTTGTGGAAGATGAACAGTAAGGGTATGATCCATCTCCTATTTAGTTGTAAGATATTCTACTTAATGGCTGGAACATTGGATCTTAAAAAAATGATATACTACTACTTCAAACAGTGTCTCTCTCATTCATCCTGTAATATATCTATGGGTAGGCACATTTGTGTGTACACATTCCCAGAGAAGGGGCAAAGAACCACAGGAATTCATCAGTTCATTCTGTTTCCAGATTAAATACTTTCTTGGACATAACATCAACCAGGATGGGTGGCAGACAATCTTTTTATTCGGTGCAATTGCTGAAAAAACGCACAACATAGAACCCAACCCATTGATCTGGTCAAGCGATATTCAGTGCAGAACCCAGTGAGGGGGAGGGGCGGGGGAAGAGAGATCTCAGTTTTTCCAAGCAGCATGTCATTGTCCCATCTTTGCTCTTCCTGCCAGGCAGGGTCCATTCCCATGTCCACAATCAAAAGCAGCTTTGGGGCTGCTCTGATTTGTGCTTGGTGTCAAATATTTCCAGAACTTCAGTTTCAGCCACAAGCGGGTACTGCAACATAGCAACACTGGCCACCTTCTCCTCCCTGCCTCTTACCTGAATATATTTGCTAAATCAATTTTCCCCTTAGTATACTGCCTAGAACTATCTTCCAGGGTAGTGGAAGCTCCACATATGCATTGAGAGGAAGGGTGGACTGCATTGAGTCTGTTATGGATGCAGTAATTCAGAATCTGACTGCAGGAACAGGCTCCAGGAACATTTTAAGTGTTTTCAAAGTCCAGCAAATGCCTCTCACCTTTCATTTCTGAACGGTTCTTTCTTTCTCTCTCTCTCACACACACCCACACGCATACACAACATTTCAGGCATGCAGTGTTTAGCAGAGGGAAAACTGGAAGTCTGAGAGGCACAGAGGGGATTACAGATTAAATTAAAGCCAAAGAAAGAACTGTGTGTTCAAAATGTGAGGGAAGATCTAGCTCACATGAAGAAGGCAGGGGAGCAGAGGTGGCTGGGAGCTGATAAGACCTGGTATGGCAACCCCCTACCTGCTGCTTAACTCACTGGTGTAATTTTTTGTTAAAAGAAAAGCTTGTGCACCCATGTAGCTCAGGCAACAGGAATGCAAACTGACTGAGTTTCACTGAAACATCATTATATTCTGTACTGGGCCAGACGCTTAGCTGGTATAAGTCAATATAGCACCAATAACTTCTAATGACATTAATGACACTGTGGATACCACTGTCCCACAACAACTTTCAGGCAATAATAAGTACCTATGCCCCAACACTACTTGTAGAAGAAATAAAGATTCAGTTCGATAGCCAGCTGAGTGACACACTAAAAAACATACCCAGCAATGATACATTCCTATTACTGGTTGACTTCAATGCATGCACTGAAGATATTGCATTACACCACTTGGAACAGTCATGGAGAAATTTGGATGTGGGTCTCTAAACACAAACAGAGAATTACTCCTACCACTGCACAGAGTTTGACCTTGCTATTACAAACACCTTTTTTAACATGCCAGAAAAGTGGTTCTACTCATGGCAGCACCCTTGGTCAAAATGATGGCAACCTTGTAGACTACATCATCACTCATCTCAATGACCTGAGGGATGTTTACTTTACCAGGGCTATGTGAGGCACAGAATGCTCTAAAGATCACCAGCTTATCTGAAGATCACCATACTAAACTGAACATCAAGTTTCACACTCCTAGTCAGGAGGTTGCTCCAAAACCAAACCAATGTGTCAAGGTTTTGAAACTTCACACAGAAGAGGCGAGAACTCAGTTAGCAACTTCGGCTTATGCTGCACTATCACAATGTGCCGATGCAAGAGCAAGTGGAACTATTGATGAAAGGTTAGACGCCTTTCGAACTGCAGTGCAATCAACAGCTAAAGAAGCCCTTGGTGTCCCAACTCAATGAAATGTGCACTGGTTTGATGCAAATGACAACAACATTCAAGCATTCCTTGTGGCCCATTGAGCCATGTGCTAATTTAAACTAGACAACCTCTCCTTTCTCATGGCTGCAGAAGCCTTCAGGAAATCAAAATATGAAGTGCAAAAAAGGCTTTGGGAAATGGAGGACAATTGGTGGAGAAACAAAGCAACAGAACTACAAGCTCCTGCTGATACTAATAACACCCGAGGGTTTTCTTCCAGGAGTAAAATCCTGAATAAAATCTGTTTATGGACTACAAACAGCCAATACCTGTCCAATCCTGTCAACTGACAGCATCACCCTCCTGAATGAGCACAGTATATTAGAAAGGTGGAAGGAACATCTTGTGACCCTCCTCAATAATGAGTTGAGTGCAAATGAGCAAACAGTCGACTCAACTGAGCAAAGACAAGTTCAGTATGAACTCAAAGATCCCCCAACTCTGGACAAGGCTAAGAATACACTTATTGAAATGGCAAACAAAGGCAGCTGGAGCCAATGAAATCCCAGCTGAAGCACTTAAATACAGCGGTCCTACACTTCACAAAGCTTTGCTAGACCCATTTGCTCTGTGCTGGGATAACAAGGCTTTACTCCAGGATTTCAAAGATGCCAAAATCATAACAATTTACAAGCACAAAGGAGACAGACATGACTGCAGCAACTACTCATGATATTTCACCCCTCTCCATTGCTGATAAGACCCTTGGTAAGCTGTTGTTGACAAGACTCCAGGTTACTGCAGATGATATACTCCCTGAATCCCAGTGTGGTTTTCGTTCATCAAGCAGCACTGCCAGCATGATGATATTTTATTTACCCTATGCCAGTTACAGGAGAAAGCTGCCGAACAACAAATGCCCCTGTACATCGCATGTGACGACTTTAGTAAGGTGTTCAACTCTATTGGATGCCTTGCTCTCTGGTGCTTTCTTGCAAAGTTTGGCTGCCCAGACAAACTAGTTCACCTCATACACTGCTCCCATGACAACATGCGGGCCCATGTATCAGTGGGTGACTCATTTGATGCCATGTAGCTCATGGGGTTAAACAGGGCTGTGTGCTTGCCCCTGCATGACTTACTATGTTCTTGGCTGGAGTGCTAGAAGTCACTGTACATACTACTGCTACTGGTGTCACCCTAACAACATGATTTGATGGCAGACTTCTAAACCTCCACTGATGCAAGGCCAAAAGCAAATCCCAACAAAGTGAAGAAAAGGATTTAGTGTATGCTGCTGACTCAGCATTTGTTGCCCTTTCTAAGAATGCCCTGCTGCATTTACTGAATTCCTTTGCCAATGCTACTTCCCTTTTTGGCCTCTGTGTTAACGTAAAGAAAACCAAAGTCCTGTACCAAGCACCTCCTGACAGAAACCTATCACCTCCATCACCACCAGAAATAAAATTGAATGGAAGTCAATTAAACAACATCAAGTCCTTTTGCTACATAGGTAGCACAATTACTGATGATGCCAGCATTGACGAAGAACTTTTAGCATGCTTGAAGTCAGCTGCCTCAGCTTTTGACCACCTACAAAAAAGACTATGGACAAGAAAGGGGGTCAAAGTATCTACAAAATGCCAAGTTTACAGAGTGGCTGGGCACCCTTGTCTCCTATACTCATTAGAGAACTGTCTCCTTTATCATCGCCATATCAGAAAACTTAACTGACTGCAGCGCCGCCTATGCAGCGTAATGGGAATTAAATGGTCTGACAAAATCATGACTGGAAGCTATGCTAGCATTGAGGCAAATGACCTGGGTCAGCCACATCATATGTATGGACAACAATCGACTGCTTAAGAGAGTTCTGTACAGTGAATTTGAAAAAGGCAGTAAGAAGATTGGCCATCCCAAAGTCCACTACAAGTCAGCTGGGGTCATAGGATCCCAGGAAGATAAGCATCCAATTTACTTTTGAAGGTGTTCAGTGTCGGCGCTTGAACCACCTCTGATGGCAGGCTGTTCCAGACCTTGGGGGCTCGGGCAGTAAAGAAATTGCTGAAGTCAAAGGTGTGAGTTATTCCTGATTTATGCCAGCAGGCATGCACATGAGTTCAGGGTCAGGTAAAAAGCCCAAGGTTCCAGTTTTCTTGTTGGTTTAGTCCCCTTACCTCAAAATCAGGGCTGCAGAACAAAAAGGGGGAGAGGGAGAGTTCTCAATCTTATCTCCCTTTGCTGTGTCTTTCTACACAGTTTGCAACCACTTCAGAGCAACTCAAAGAGGAGAAGAAAGTGGGGAGAAGACTAAAATATACGTGGCAGAGGAGCCAACTCCTTCAAGAGGAGCAAAAAAACACACACACAGGAAAAAAGGAACAAAGATCAGAAGCTTTTGGGGGCAGCAAGGGAAGGAGAGATGGCTGGTGTGTGACAGCTGGGTGGCTGCAATCTTTGTAGCAATTAGATTTAATGGGACAGAAGTGTTTTTTCCTCCACATCCCCTCCTCCTCCTCTTCTCTCTCTGCCTCAGGCTGAAGGGGTGGGGCCTGTGAGAGGGTCCTTGACGTCAGACTTGCCCTATAAAAGCTTGGCAAGGTAAGGGAAAGCTCAGAGCAGAGCCCGTGTAGCAGCAAGGATGCCAACCCCCAACTCCTCTGCCTCTTCAGCCAAAGGCTTCCGCAGGGCGGTTTCAGAGTTGGACTCCAAGCAAGCGGAGGCCCTCATGGTAAGAGACCCCCATCCCCACCCTGAAACCCAAAAGTCTATAGCAGAACTGAAGCCACACAGGGGATTGCAACTGTAGACAGGTGGACAGAGTAACAACTTACTTTCTAATGCACTGCCTTCACCCAGGGACCTTGGTATTTGAGGTTGGCAATCCCCCCCCGCAATAAAACCCAGTCTTAATAATGATGCACCCTAAGTAAAATAGAAATGTGAGGGAGAAAGCCATTCAGGTCATCATTATTATTGCTAGTAATGATTATAATAGGCATTTAAGTAATAATAATTATAGTACAATAAAACAGTCCCATTAAATTAAAACACCGAATAGAACTAAAGCCAAGAATATTAAGGTTAAGAAGTGCACTTCTAAACACATTATAGGTTTTCTATTTTTCAGGGGTTTAAAATGAAGGGATTTCTTTTGTTTCAGTGTAATGAAAATGCATGACTCTTTATTCTGGCAGATCTGCAAGACAGTGGGAATTCAAGCAAACTTGCAAAACGTTGCTATGTAATTATTATTGCCATGTTCGCTTCTCCCACCAGTTTAGATTTATGACTCTCAGCTCTGTGCGTGGAATAATCCCACATGACCTATAACTCTAAAGAAGGTGAAGATAAAACATTGTGCTGAGCCATAAGCTACCTTTAAAAATTAAACTCCAGTCAGCAGCAAATATACTGCTTCTGTTATCTTTGCTCTAAGGACATTTAGGAAGTTTTAGTTAAGAACAGTTTTGTCATCACACCCCAACTGATGTTGCCAAGAACAGTAGCCAGTGTGACTCAAGACTTTTCAGAGTGAAACCCTTTAATGCATAGTTAGTCAAAAAGGGTCTATGCCAGACGACTGACTGTCATAGTGAGTGGTATCTGCATGGCACAACTTAGTGCTTCACAGTCATGGCACTAAACAATCTCACGTCACAGCTTTGTCTAGCAGCTACATGTGGCAAACTAGTACCTTACCTAGTTTGTCCCAAACATGCTAGGTAGCCAGATTATAAAGATCTTTTTTTGTAGATTTCTGAAGGGATGTTTCATGTGTGCAAAGAGCATATACAGAAAATCTGGATTTAATATAGGACTTAGAATATATGTTTCTCTCTAATACATATATTCTAAACCTTTACTTGGTTTTTCCTAGCAGTGATGGTCTAGCCCTGCCCTTAACAGAGTCACTGGTGGGCTGCCTTACACGTAGGGAGTTCCCAGACAAGAGATTTCCAATTGTCCTTTTTCCTACCACCTCCCAAGGTCTTAGATGTTGGAGATGGAGGGACAAGGCAAATGAGGCCACTTTGTCCAACACCGGGCTGTTTTTCTGAATACCGTGTGTGGCAATGGAAATTACTTCATGCGCATTGTTTGCAGGGAATAAACTGATTTTAATTCTATTCCCCCTGCTCTTTTTATTTTTACTGACTGCCTCTTCCCTTGCTTCTGTGGAATCCTCTGCATTTAGTAAAATCAGCTACTATGTAAACAAACCCAGCCTTCGGGAGACACAGTAGGAAAGAAGGGAAGAGGGCTTTGGGACTAAAGGTGTACGTATACTTTCTGTAACAAATGATCACTAAATAGCTTGGGAGGGCCTGCATCTTCCCTTGGCATTTTCCTACTGGCAAATAGTGAACTTGTAAAGGTAGCTTACTCTTAAATTATTGACATTTTTCACATTGCCAGTCAAATTAATGCTTAAAAGTCCCTCTCTGTCCGTCTGGGCTGTTATCAGGAATTATAGTAGAGGTGTGCAGTCAAGTTCTAATACAACCTGTGTGAGTGTTCAGTCTTTAAAAGGAAAATGAAACATTAAATAGTGCTATCTCTTGAAATAAGTTTTGTCAACACGTGTTAGTTGCACAGATCCTGTTTCCTTTAAGACTTTCTGCGCTGCCTGTGACCAATTATTTAAGGTGCATCTTATCTCAGTGCAGCATGTTATTTAATATATAATTTATTATAGATTATTTTTGTAATCCAGAATCTCTCCCAGTCCCATCACTGCTTTTGAATGGGAAGGTGTTTGGAAATGGTCAGAACAAAACTATGCTATGATTTAATCAGAATTTAAGTTACAGCTTACATCTCTAGAGAACGAAATAATACCTGCCAAAATAGATCAATAAAAGTACCGATGAAGGTAGTATGAGAAAAAAAGGAAGCCTACAGATAAAATCAAGTTAGCAGTAGAAACAGCAGGAAAACTATACTGTCTGTGTCCTCCTCTTCTCCCCCCCCCAGCTAAAATCCAGTTTCCTGGTAACTTACCTTTCCAAACTAGGTGAACTCCACTGTCCTTTCTACTAGCCGTTCATACAGGGAGGACTGATTTCCTTTTGATCTAGAACAGTCTGCATAGGAGTGAAACAATCCATTCTAGAGAGGAGGAGCACGAGATAATAAGTTGTAGCAGGGCACTGATATTGATGTCTGCTCACATGTGAGACAGAAATGTAGCACAGCTCACTGAATGGAAACAACATGGGTCATATTCATGTTTAGACATGATCTCAGCTGCCTAATTCCATACTGGTTTTTATATGACACACTCTGTCATACTATCTGAGCCCTGTTCAGTAACACACAAGATATAGGATTTAAATCTGTCATGTGTGGTTCTTTCCTTCCCAGATAAAATTAAAATTTTACCCTGATAAAAATAAAATTTGTGGAACTTCAGAGACAAGTGCATAGGGCATCTTTTTGGTAAAGCATGTGCTCAACTTCAGATCATTACAGAGTTTGTTTATCGTGGATAGCTGCTGAGGTGCTGGATGTTTCTCTTATTCATTTGCAGACCATTTAAAATAAGCACTGGTTCCATTAAACATATTGTTTTAAGTTTTAATACAATGTTTAAAAAGTTATACACATATTTATTCTATGCCTGCTGCAGCAACTACTGCAACTGCTGCCATGTGACCTACCAACCTCAGCCCTTGCTGTTACAGCAACCTCATAGTGTCAGGGCACCCAGCTGCTGCTGCAAGGGCAACTCTGTGGAGCTGTTTTTGCTGCCAGAGCATGGACTCCACAGGGGTGGAGGGCTATTCTGGTACCCCCTCCTAAGTTGGTACATGACTCTGAACCACCCCGCCATCCCTAGATGTGTGCGCACACATCAGTTTTAAATGTCAGAGTAAAGCCCCAAAGCTGTGTCCAGACTTTTAAATAATCCAAAATGAGAGAGAGAGGGGATATATGCTTAGGGGATGGTCTCTAAGAGAATGTAAATAGAATAATTGGGCTAGTTAAAAATATGTTTTTAAAAAATTCTTCAAACAAAATGTTTCCTAAACCCTTTAGTTAATTGGACAATTTTCTCATTGCTCAAAGTTTGTCAGTGAAACCCAAATGAAAAAGTGGAAACACTTGGGTTTGGTTTGTTTGTGCTCGTGATCTTTATGTTTAATTCTTGCATGTTTTTGCAAATTATTTCTTTTTCATTGTGTGTGTTGGGCTTTTTGTGCTCATTGGGAGACTGTTTGTAGTTGCATGGTATAATGTTTTGAAAAAATCTGAGAACTTTCATTTTATAACAATTTTGTTCGCTTTGCGAGTTAGAAAATTTTGGGTTTCTAAGTTTGGCAGGTAAAACAAGTAAGGGGAAGTCAGATTTTATAAAGCTTGAACACTAATAACCACAAGCAGTGACATATTTAAGTACAGGAGAAGGACCTAAGCTATCACCAGAATCTGAACAAGCCCGAACTACTGATTGTAGATGCAGACCAAACTACCAGTTTTTTCTCCCTTGAGATATTGGAAATCTGTAGTTGAATAGTTTCCCTTGGCCTCATTTCTAGTAATCCCAAATCTGATTAGTGAGATAAATACCTTGGAATAAAAGTTGCTGGACATTTTTAAAAGAAGACTTTGTAAAAGGAAATCCTGAAATACATCGCAGTAGGGTAGCAAAATATTCAGTGACTGGTTAATTATCGTGTGCAAAACTAACCCTTTGGTTTTCTCCACTGCATATCTGGCCTGTTTGAAGACTCATATAGGACCAACCTCAGTCTGGCCATTTTCCTTATAAGAAGAAATAAGTTACAGCATTACACTAGTGCTTGGGAGATCTAAACTCAGTTCATGACTCTGCCACAACCTGCCTTTCCAAATCTTGGGCAAATTACTTATTCACTCCTGTGCCTCAGTTCCCCAGCTCCAAAACAGAGAATTTTTCACTTGGGAGCAAACAAGAATTGCTTGTAAAAAATGGAGGCATAGTGAGATGGACCAAGTTCTCTACGGATGTAAAGGGATGTAGTTCTATTGCTAGTTCAAGAGGACTAGGTCTATTTACATTGACAGAGAATTTCCTCAGCAATCCCTGCCTTAAGTGTCACTGAATAAAAAGAACATAAGTAAGAGGTTGTCACTGATATATTTTCTTTGCACTGGAATCTACTGCAGCACAAGAAAAAAATGGTGTAGTAAAAGTATAATGGACCCTTGGTCAGCAGTGATTGTCCCAGGGCTTTCTATACTAAAGAATAACTAAAAGCAAGGCTAGATCTAGAATTTTGAAAAGGGGGGTGCAGATGAAGTGCATCATCACAAATAGAAACAACACATATTTTCTGCATTTAAAATATAAACTAGAAGCTTCACTAATATCCTAGGGGCCTAGGGCTGTATCACTCAGTTTAAGATTGAAGCAAAAACAAATATAACTTCATTAGAAAGAGTTGAAATGAATCTGTAGGATTGTGAAATAGGACATTCATTAGCAAGGACAGCTAATAGACAGCAGAACTGCAGAACAAAGAATTGCTTGACTGGTGGAACATCAAGATCATTAAATTCAGAAGCTCAGAAAAAAGTCTGGAGTCAAATCAAGGTTATCTGGCTGTCTCCAGTAGGTGCAGTTCTCTGCTAGCCCATGAAGGAGTTAAGATCAAATTCAGGAACTGAAAGTCTGATGCTTCCTCAGTTGTCTTGAGGAGATGACTTCTACCTCTTTAACTCTTTTCTCCTTTCCAGTCTCCACGGTTCATTGGTAGACGGCAAAGCCTCATTGAAGATGCCAGGAAGGAGAGAGAGGCTGCAGCTGCAGCCACTGATGCTGCAGAGTCCACAGAAATGATTGTCTTTGAGGAGAAGGATGGAAGGGCCATATTGAATCTTTTCTTCATGCTCAAGGGAGCTAAATCTTCCTCCCTGTCCCGTGCATTTAAAGTTTTTGAGGTGAGCATCTAATCTCTCATTCTTTCATAAGCAAACACTGTGTAGCAGGAGTGAGGGCAGCCTAGGACTGTGTTACGGGGAATCTGCCAATTCATCAGAGTTCAGTTGGGGAAAAAAAATCAAGTTTAAGGCCTCCATACTCTGAATTCTCTATTAATTGTTCAGGCTATAAATAGATACAACCTGATTTTCATAGTTAATGTATTAAACTTATGAAGAACATCTTGTCTGAATTTGATCTATTTGCTATTTCCTCTAGCTCACTGTTTCCCAATGAGTAAGATACAGCCAGGGCACTATCCAGCTAAGTACAAATACTAGGCTCTCAGCTTGCTTAGAGCGAGCTAGTAACCAGCATACTTAACATGTAAATAATGTGTATTCATCCCTCACTCTAGTCATGGCCTCTTATGTTCAGTGTGCAAGACAGTTGCCCAGGGTACTCAACTTAATGTTAAGCCATGGAAGACCTGGACTCAGACTGTATCAGCAGATGAATCACCCACTTTTCAAAGGCTGCTTGCAGTGAACTACGTAGCTACCTCACATACCTTGTATTTCCTCAATGCTTTGCCTATCTTTGAATTACATCCTTGTTGAACTTCAGCCATTTTTTTTTCAGGACCGTTTTCATATAGGTGTGTAATGGAACAGCTTCCATTGACTTCACAGAGCTCTGCTTAGTCAAGGGATAAATTTGGTCTACATATTTTAAATGAGCTGTATTGATTTTTTTTTTTTAGTGTGGCATTCTTTATGATGTCATTATATACAGTTGTGTGTTGGGAAATGGTAATTAATTGGATGTTTTCCCTCTGGCCACCAATCAAAAGTAGCATCTTTATGACACTCAAATGGAAACTTGGAGGTAAGTATTCATTAAGCCAGTAGTCAAAGATAACAACTTACTGATATAATAATATAGCACACTGCATCCCAAAGGAGCTACTTTGCAAGTCCTGGTCCTACATCACCTTCCATTTACACAGATTTAATTCCATTAACTACAGTGGTGTGACAGGCA